AGGGGTTTCGTTCCTAGTTGTGGTCCTATTTCGGAGGGTGGAGGTAAAACAACTTCATCGCGCGAACGCGGTTGTGATCGTGATTAGATTTGGAAGAGCTAGGTCCGGGAACCTGTGACTCATTCCGAGGACTTGGAACTGACGCAGGTCGAGAGCGACTCGATTCTCCGCGCTGTTCCACCAAGTTCCTCCACGATGTTTGTTTTTCTATCTCCTTAAAAATGTCTGTAGGGTGCCGTGATTCACCATAGACATTGCCCTCGCGAGTTGGTACTTTCCGCTCTCTCCCAGATCGGCGCGGTGAAGGCGCACGAGATCTGACCGGTGGAGGTGGCGGCGACACTGGGCGTTGCACAGGCACAGGCTGTTGTCCGCGCAATGGCTGCGGTACAGGAGGATTTGCCGGCGGTGCATTAGGTACGACGTCTCGACCTTTGCCCTTGTCCTTTGAAGAAGGTTTTGGGAGCGGACGATGTGGTTCCTCATCGTCATCAGGGAGAAAACAAGAAGTGGGTGCCTGGTTCGCAGGTTTTCCATTCTTTTCCTCCTCAGGCGCAGAAGGCTGCCTTTGTCGTTTTGTTCTGTGTCCAGGACACTTGGGAAACATATGTTCATCAAACAGCGCTTGAGCGGCCGTAAAGATGACATTATTGGGCAAACGCATGAACTTATGGCTGTGATTACCATCACCAACGCCGAGATAGACCATCAGCTCCGATTTGGGCGATAGCTTGTTCTTGCGAACCTCGCGTGGTAAGAAGACATAGGCACCGCATCTGAAGATGCGTAGATGGGTGATAGTTTAATGTCTGGTTTAGAACCATGTAGAACTTCATATGGAGTGCGCCAGTTGAGTCATCGCATCGGAGTTCTATTATAGACATGCGCTGCATGCTCGGATGAGAATTCCCACCATGATTGTGGTATGCAAGTGTCATGACACATTGCCTCCCCCTTTTTCATGATCGTGCGAATGATTCGTTCAGCACGTCCATTCTGCTCGTGAATGTTTGGAGCAGAGGGTATTCTCTCAATCCCACGATCCTTGAGCATGTCTGTGAAGGCGGTCGATTTCAACTCGCCTGCAGAATCAGATTTCCATTTCTGCACTTTGGCATTGAACTGGTTCTCGACATATGCGAGCCATTGCCGTGTAACTTAAAGTGCAGCAACCTTTGTACGAGGTCCGATAGTCCATACATGCGATGTGTAGTCGTCAAAGTACAGTATCTCGTGCTTGTACTTGTGGTATGAAGGCACAGGGAAATCCTTGAGATCCGAATGGATGAGCTCAAAAGGATGTGTCGCTCAACGAATGTCAAGCGGATGAGGTTGCGATGGCATTTTGCCTTCAGCATATCCTCGACAGATTGAGTCATGAAGAGGGAACTTAACAAGCGGGCACTTTTCTGTGTGTTTCCATGCATGTTTCAGCATATTGCGCGAAGGGTGCACGAAACGACGGTGAAGAGTTTCATAGTCAACAGCATTAATAGCTGCGACAGCATATCGCGCTGATCTAGGCTGCATATGAGTGACATATATAGTGTCATTCTCAAAGCACAGTTTAAACGCGACTATAAGCCTATCATTCCGATAGAAAGAAATCTTAGCAGTGCTTGCACGTGCTTCTAATGCATCCTTGAGCAATGCTCCTAAGGATATAAGCTTATACGCGAGGTTGGGTACCATAGCAACGTTCGTCAGCTTTAGGGTGGTTCCAAGCTCAGTTGGTAAGATGACTGTTCCTTTGTTACCGTTGGTACGCCCCACCCCCTATCTTTTTCTATTGGACTACTCCTTCTCGTCGCCCTCGTGTACACTCCACCCCCCTTCCTGTTCCCGGCGACCTATGTTTACCTTCCCGTTCCCCTGTCGTCCGCCTGTACTTATACTGACGGAAAGTGTTCGAACACCCACGTTTAGGCGCCTGTTGCGCGCTCCTCCTCCTGGTCTTGTAAGCAGTATAAGTAGACAGAGCTCAACCATAATGGAGGTATATATTGCTGTTCTTGTCAAGAACATGTGTGCACAATTTGATAGGATTATGATATCTATTTTGAGCCAAATTAGCCTCAACGAATCTCAGCATGCTCTGTGAGCATGAGTGCAAGATTTGCCATCCTTGAGTACTAGAAAATAATCGGAATACCTCCATATTCTTGCACATATATCTAGCCATAGAGGAGGCTGTATATAATCAGTGGCTGCTAGCTTTTGGCCATCTCTCTCTTGGGGAAATAGTCCTACAATACTAGACCAGCTCTTTCTACGAAGCTAGTAAGACACTTTTTTGCCATTCTTTAGTTCCCCTTTTAAATACTGTGCACCCTGTTGTTATGAGTACATGCAGGGAAAAGGATTCTAATCTACTTAGAAGCCAAGTCTCTAGCTTCAGTTATGGTGTTGGAGAAATGTCCAGCGGAATCAAGATAGCCTTGAACCACACTTACTTCCAACTGATGTTAGTACTAATCTTTCCAAGCAGAGGCATGGGTACACCATGGTTTTGAATGCTGTAGAATCTTTCATATGAGTAGACTCTTGTGCACAAGTATGGGGGTATTACAATCATTCCCTAGTAGCTAAGAATGGCAAATCTTGCGCTCATGTTCGCAGAGCATGCTGAGATTCGCTGAGGCTAATTTGGCTCAAAATAGATATCATAATCCTATCAAATTGTGCACACATGTTCTGAACAAGAACAGCAATATATTCCTCCATTATGGTCGAGCTCTGTCTACTTATACTGCTTACAGGACCAGGAGGAGGAGCGCGCAGCAGGCGCCTAAACGCGGATGTTTGAACACTTTCCGTCAGTATGAGTACACTACTGCCCCCCATTCCGCCCCCTGACGACTGCGTTCCAGTCCCGGCCCTCTCCCTTAATAATTCCCCTTTCGTCTATATGACCGGACCCTGAGTCCGACCCTGACCCTTTCCCTCTTTGTTACCTCTTGTATCCCTATATCCCTCAATCTAGGGACTTGTGCGATACTCTCTCCCCGTGTGCTACACCGCGTACTTGGATAAGTCCGCGTGATAAGTCTGGATAGACTTGTGTTAGTACTTCAGCGTAACATTAGAACAGAAGTTCTCCCACCATGCCTTGGATAGGACTCACCGTGGCGCACTCTATTCGTCAACTCGCAGACCGACTTTGACGAACGCATGGCCGTGACCATACTACGGTCGATTACTCAGACGACGAGGTAGTCGTCTACAACCACAACCGCACCCCCGAGGAACATCAAGTGTACAACCTAGTACGATGCCAAGCCACACCAGCGGACGCCGAATGTTCCATTTGGCAGCTCGAGGAAGCATACAGACGTGCGACCTACCAGGAAGGATTACTCCTCGATCAACTAGTAGCACCAACGCCTCAGAGACAGGCATCTATCGAACTCATCTGTCAACGGACGCTTGACCGGATCGAAAGGACTCACGCACGAGCCGTCCTCCATAGCCCAGTTTGGAACGAATATCGCCTGAGCATCGGCTCTTGGACACCAGACCAGGCGAGCCTCGAGTTTACTATCCTTGATGAACTCGAGCATTGGGTACTCTGTGACGACGGATACGACGGGTACGACGAACTACCATCACTCGTCAACATCGAGCAAGAATCATCGGCAGGCAACCCCTCAAGCCCCGAACCACTAGACATCTTCTCCTTCCTTGCGAGAATTTGGGACAACGCGAGCGCGTTGTACGACATCACCAACCACCACCCAACCCTCACCCCGATCTCCGAGCAAGCACACATCCAGGTTCTCATCGAACAGGGTCAGCAGGTCGTCAACACCCTTCACAATCTCCAACGGCTCGTCAGCCCACCCCTTCCCCCCATCCCCGTTAGCCACGACCCAGAAGAACACCACGGATCCAGTTACTTTGCTGCTCGAATTTGCAAACAGGCCGAGAATCTTCGTAACGTTCAGAGTCTTTTGGACCCGGACTTTGCCGAACACTGCCAACGCCTACATCTACTCATTGGGGCCAGGGAACTATACGAATCTCACCGTCGCATCATTCGAAACGGATATGAGTCCCCTGACGCTAGTTCCGATTTTGACCATTCGGCAACTCTACGCAACTTCCACCTGGACTAGGTATCCCTCCGCATGAATACGCAGCGGACCGATTGCGCCCAACGTATTCACCAATACGACCCTGAGAATCGACGCGACGTCAGCTTCAATAGAGAAGGACAGAACAGACGCACTTGCAATAACCACCTGTGCCCCAACCGATACAACGGACAGAGCAGCCCCAACGTCATCACCGAAAACGCGCCACAGAAAAGGTAGGAAGCCTTCATCCGAACGGCTTGGGCCCTCAATCGAACAACAGCCCCCTCCCCTCCGCGTAGCCCTGCTACCCATCGCACTAGTTCCCTACCAGACGTAGCGAACGAGCCCACCGAGGCTACACCCTTGTCGGAAGATAACCCCGCTCCTCGAGACGACGAAGAAACCGTCACCCCTCTCCGCGGTCCTCTCCAAGCACACCCGGACGAACCAGACAGCGACACGGACACGACAACAGAACTCATAGACGCCACTATGTCCGCAGTACCACCCCGTTCTAGCCTCCCCAGCTTCCAACTCGGAAACTTGTTCACTCCCCAAGACAGCATCTCCTCGCTACGCCAGGCGAAAGGGGCCCAACCCGGTCAAACCACTCACTATGCCAGCAGTGGAGTCCCGACAGCACAACCTGTGATACCACCTACTACTGCTGCACCGCCTGGTCGACCACCTACACCCCCTGGTTTGCCTCAAGGACCTGGCGGACCTCCGCAAGGTGGCGGACCACCTCAAGGCGGTGGACCTCCCTACGGCGGCGGACCCCCTCCGGGTGGCGGACCTCCTTAAGGCCCCGGCGGACCACCACCTGTGGCTCCTTTCGGCGCACCAGGCGTCGTCGCCGGACGAATCAAAGTCCGCGCACCCAATGTTTTTGACGGAGACCGCGACAATCTACGCACCTTCCTCAATGAACTCTTCCTGTTCTTCAAAGCACGTCCAGCCAACTACGCCACCGACCAGAGCCGCATCGTCACCACCCTAACGTTCATGGACGGACCGAAGGTGATCGCCTGGAAGGACGGATATATCACTCAGGCCCGACGAAATGGCTGGAACACCTGGAATGTGTTCGAGACGGTCTTACAACAGACCTTCCAGCCCATCGAGGAAGCCGCTACGGCCGCCTCCAAGCTGTACCACCTCGACTACCAACCTGCCGCACCAGACACCTTCAACGCGGAATTCTTCCGCCTCTGCGCCCTCGCCGGTATACTCGAAGACAGTGCTCAGCTGTCCTTTTATAAGGAGCGTCTCCCAGAAAGCATGCGACGACGGGTTCGCCTCACGTACCCCATTCCCACCACCGTTAATGAGTGGGCAGCACGGGTGTTGGAGATTGAACACTCCAACTATGGGGAACGACACCTGCGCCAACTCGAGGGACACTCTCGCAACGACCGACAGGGCCAAGGCACAAAGGGACAGCCCGCTCGTACCAACTCCATACGACGAGTCGACGCTCCAGCCATGAAGGAGGACAGAGAGAAGAAGCAATGCTTCTACTGCCACAAGACTGGTCACATCGCACGCGACTGCCTTAAGAAGAAGGCGGACAATCATGCCAAGGGACGACAGCCTGGACAGAGGAAGCGGAAGGTGCGCAAGGTCGATGAACTAGAGGATGGCGAGGTCACCTACGACAAAGACAATGGCGAGGTCGCCTACGACGAAGACAATGGCGAAGCCACACCTGACAAAACGATCAGTCAGGTCGACGTAGACGATTCGGATGAGGGTTTTTGAATGGGCAGTCTGTCACAGCCAACGAGCTGTGCCACCAAAACAAACAAGGGCAAAGCTTACTGATGCAGAGGTTGGTGCTGAGAAGCGAAGCAACCAGAGGTGACACAGCAAGAGATGTGAAGAGATGTATTCCCTAGACTAGAAGGGGTAGTGAGGGAGGTAGGGCTGCTAGCTACCTACAGAGGAGATGGGGAATCGACGAGAAGATCAAGTCTGAGGTTCCCTGCCTCAGACTCCCTACTATATATACTAATACAATGGTGCACAGACCAGGTACCTATTGACCATCGTTTGGTCAGAGTTCTCTGCCTCATGTCCTACCCTCTGACCTGCCTCATGGTGACCTTACGACTAATACCTGAGTCGTGCCGAGTCCGGACCCCTCCCAATGAGTAAGCGCTCCTGCTGTC